AATAGAAGCAATTCTGAATTCAAGGCCGCGACAGCCCATGGCAGATTCAATTTCCGATTTGACTTGTTTAACGCCGGGGCATTTCCTAATAGGCCAACCACTATCTTCATTTCCGGAAAGGGACGTATCAGAATTGCCACTTAATCGTCTCAATATTTGGCAGCAATGCTCCAAATTGAGGCAAGATTTTTGGAAAATGTGGTCGAGAGATTACCTAAATTTATTACAAAATCGACCAAAATGGAAAACTTCGGAGTCCAATTTACTAGTTGGAGATCTAGTGTTAGTGAGGGAGGATCACTTACCTCCTCTTGAGTGGTGTCTAGCTAGAATTTTAGAGGTGATGCCTGGACGCGATAATAAGGTCCGGGTAGTCAAATTAAAAACAGTTAATGGTGAGTTTACAAGACCGGTGACGAAATTAAGTCCACTGCCTCTGCAATTACGCAGTTTTGTTGAGGACTCGTCCTCAAAGGGGGGAGAATGTTAGGGAGCGAACTCATAATTCGACACGCCAAGATTAACGAGCGGCAGTTTCCGCCCATTTTGGGAAAAGGACTCCCTAACCACCGAGCTAACCACCTTACGATATATATTAATGTTTTTCTAGGCTTAAGTTTAGTTCAGTAAGCGTAGTTGGTAAATACAGTCCATTTAGTGTAAGAATTAGTGTAAGGTGCTACAATAAAGGAAACCGTGAAAACACTACCTGTTCTTATATCAAATCAACATCTACCCCAACTGGGCTTGCTGGATTCAACAGTGAGGTAACACAGTTTGGTCACGGACTACTACGGTTTTACTAGTAAAATTTGTACATACCAAATAATTGACTTCCAACAACTTGCTGAAAAACAATTCGGTTAGATATGGCCGCTTCCACATGTTCAGTGATCTGTTTAATTAAAAAAAGCAACACTTCTAAGAATATTTTATTTCAAGAGGCCCATCTTGAAAATTCTTAACCTACTAAAATACTTAATATGAATAAACAATTTCAAAAAATATTTATTTTGAATTTTTGGCAACCTTTTCATCATCTGACTAGGCACTAGGCACGTATAAATTCATCGTTATATAAATGTTTGTACAATATAAAATATAATCTATACAAAATTCTCAATGATTAAAAACTAGGAAAACCACAATCACAATATGTAGGTACACTATAATTTAAGTACAATTGCCTCTCCTAAAAATGTTATAAAATACTTTTATCCAATCTTACACACAAAATACATAATTACAATAATCTTTGGATAATACAAAAAAGTATGCCATTAATCAATCGAAATCATAATTAGCACAACTTCCGAATGGTAACCAAGTAATATTATTGCACAAAAATAATGCTAGGTAGGACATAATAAATTATCAGGTATTTTCGTTTGACTTTGATGTAAACTTTTTGTATTTAATACTTTACGTTTAATTTTTTCTTTATCTTGTTTTCGAGACTTTTGTTTGAAAAGTGTTATAGGTGTCAGTTGTGGCATGTGAAAATCGTCTCCGACAGTTAACTCGGTAACATAGTCAAAATTGTGTTGTTTACTTTGGTGTTTTTGTAAAAGAAATTTTCTTGTGAACGTCGAATTACATTCGAGGCATTTGAATGGTCTTTCACCTGTGTGAATTAGGATGTGCCGTTTCAAGTCGGTCGACCAACCGAAAGATTTTTGGCAGTAAGTACATTGGTATTTCCGCGAGACCTTGTCGGAGATGGACTTTGTATCATTTGCCATGTCACTTTCACTTTGTAGATCATCCGAGGTTATTGCACAGAAGTCGATGGGCTCATTTTTAACTTCGCAGTTCGCTGCTAATGGTAACTCTTCATTTTTCACCTTTGATTTGAAGGTTGATATAGGATACAGATCGGGAACATCCACTTTTCTACAGTTTGTACTGTTGTGTGTTACTTCATTATCGAAACTTTCATTATTTGCATGCTGTGCAAAATGTTGCAAAAGTGAGGAGGCCGAAGGGAACGATATGTTACATTCTGAGCATACTAATTCTGCAAAAGGAAATAATTAAAATTGTTGTTTTTCACTCATGTTTGTGGTTAACATACCATACAGCATTTTTTGGACACCCACCACAATTACTAATTAAATGTACGTACGTACAACACATTAAATACCGCTCGTTAACGTAATTCTAAAAATGTATAATATGCATTAACTAAATCTGATGAAGTACATAATTTGTTTGTTTATTATTGTCTGACTAGTCACATTTCGCCATCTTGTAAGATTTTGTATTGATATTAGAGCGGAACATCCGGGTCGCCATATTGTTGCAGTACAACCACAAGATGCTTGATAATGAAATAATAAAAAAGCAATTATCGTTACGTGGAAAGGAACGAAACTTTTTCATGTGTTCAAATTTTGAAAACATTTTGTACTTTAACCTTTTCCAGTAGCGGCCACAAAATCACTCTTGTTTATTTCATCCATTACAGTTAATTCCTTCGATTGGCAATTCCGTAACCGGTGGTTATTAAACTACGAACTGTGCAAACGACTGTCAGCATTTTAGTTTTGGTGTTGTTTTATCATAAAAATATGCAAGTTATTATTTAAGAATAAGTGATCCACAGGTGGGTACCTTTTTTATTAATTGTTTTGTACTGTCCTACTTGTCAATTTGTTCTCATGTGGACGAACTTTATGTTTATGTGGGTGGTATATATCTACAGCATACTGCTGCATTGGGTGTACCGAGTAGCCATTTTGTAAAAGTTACTTTAGTGAATATTTAAATCATTTGTTACCACAAATTTATTTTTGAATTAAGATTCGTATAGGTTTTTTTTTATATCTTCACGCATACATTACGATTCCGCACTTCTTAAACGTTTTACAATGATAACCTCAAATGTGGTGTTTGTCAATCTTAAAACAAGATGGCCACGGAAAGTAATTTTGACTAAAACTCATTTATATTTTAGCATTATTTTAAAATGCACTGCATCTTTGTTGGTATTTACACAGTGAAACATGTAAGATTGGTTGGTATTTATCTACTGCAGTTGTAGCATATACTCACACGCACGCAGAACTATAATTAAAAATATTAACAATTTTAAATGTGTTGGTAACACTTGTTTTAAATGGCGACAGAAGTTAGTTGGGGTGTTAACCACGTTATAGTGCATTACTTGTCGGTAAGCGTCAATCGAGGCGTCAATATTATATTCTATATAGATATTCACTTTGACTTCATCAATAGATATGCTTTGGCCAGATGTTCCAATAAGCCCTGTGTGAGTACCCTCCTCCGGCACTCCATTCCCGAGATATGTCTCGTCCAGACTTCTCTTTTTTTCTTTGTGTGTTCTCTCCTCCGACACTCGATTCTCGAGGTATGAGGAATTATAACTTATCTGGAAAAGACGTTTGAGAGGAGGACAGTAGGAATTAATTCCTGGGGTTGAGTTGTTGAGACTTGGTAGAGTCCCTTTTGTTGAGACGGGCGGTAGTTGGTAAAAAACAGTTCCTTTCGTTAAGACCTTTAATTAGAGTACCATGAAAGATAAATCCAATTTCTGCCTCCCCCTTCCTCCCGTCATCCACTGATCTCGAAATCTAATCATATCCGCTTATTAGGTCCCAAAAAATTCAAAATGAAATTAACGAATTTTTTTTTATATCATATGGTGGATGCCATATTGGATTTTTACGGAATGGGATAGGGGACCGCAAGAGTGTGGCGTCATTAATTATTTTTCTTTTTTTGTCCTCTAGATATCTCAATCCGTAAAAATCCAATATGGCGCCCATAAGATAAAAGAAAGTAGTAGCCTGCAGCTTCTACACGTAGCGTGCTATGGGAATTCTGATCAAGATTCTTTAAAAAAGTGCCCTTATAAGGTGCCAAAAAGAACCATCAATTTCCGACCGTTATTAAGCTACGGAATTGAAAACCAAATTTGTCATTTTTAGTTATTCGGATCTCAGTTATTTTCAGATTTTTCAAAAGTGTTTTTTTACTTACAAAAAGGGGAACTTTGCCCCTATTTAATCTACACAGTATCTGTCACCGTTGCGGAGATCGCAATGGTAAGCCACGAATTTTAACCACCCTGTACAGCGTTGCCACGTGCGTAGTTTATGCAAATGTGCAATCCAGTTTGAAAAAATCTGGAAAAATGCACAATTTTCCAAAGAAGCAGCTGTAGGTAGAAGATAGAATTCATATCTTCCACATTTGTTTATAGTTGGTCACAAAATTCGAATTTGAGTATTTGAAGTAGGTGTAGGAGTCTATTCTTCCTATCATATATAGGAAAAACTGGAGATTTTTTATGAGATGTTAAGAGTAAACAGCTGTCTATTTTATTGAGCTCATCTCTAAAAAATTGAGCAAGTTGCGCATGCGTATAATACCGCAAAAGATCCCAAAATGTCTCGCAACGCATCTTTTCGGTAAAGTCCCTAGATTTCTACTTTTCGGAATGTAGATGCTAGCATTCTACGATCCGATTTGTATTCAGTACATTGAAATAAAAGACATTCAGTATTGCAAATTGTACGTCAAAAGGCCAGACAAGTGAAGGATAAACAAAAGTCTGTCAAAAAATGCGGTGACTTTACGTGATGCTTAATTCAATATTACGTAGTAATAATTACTATAATGTAGAAAGGATTCTGGTATTAATCTTATTTTACTTTCTCGATGGTATTAATTTAGATTAGGTAGGCACGCCGCAGGTGTTTCATATGTTTAGTATTAGCATCATTGAATCGTCCCAAATGCATTTCGGCACGTTGCGTAGCCATTTTGTTTTAGAGCAGTTGCAACGTTTACCGACGTATTTTTCTGTTACGTTCTTGTTTTAAGTGAAACCGAAAACAAAAAAATGTACTTTTAGTCGTTGCGTAGAATATTTCGTTATCACAATCTATTTTTATACCCACTTAGGTCACGGAGTGTACGAAAGCGATACAGGTAGGTTACTCGATTGCTTATTTTTTTCAATGCGACTGCATGTACCGAAATACGACGCACAGTATATACTAATGAAAGCAGGGAACACAATAAACTAGAGCGCTGTTTACAAGTAAGTAATATCGTTATTTGTAAGGAAATTCTCTTAACCCGTACTTGTGCATCACGTTTTTACGAACTTCTGTAGGGAGCAACGACCAACGAGTAAAATTAAGGCAGGGAGTGCGACGCTTGCCGCCGCCATCTTTCTGCGTATTAGCGAAGGGCGAAAAGTAAATTATAACAAAGCGCCGAAGCCGAAGTAAACGCATAAAATTACAAACGACTACGAATTTTGTGTGTTTCTGTATTTGTAAATAAGGAAACCATTTCGTAAATGGAAGGTACGTAATATTTTCATCAAATGAAAATTTAATGCAACACAGTTAATACAGTTTATGTGTGGTTAGAATTAGATACGAGGGTTATCTGGTAAATAATTATCTCATTTTTTTACAATAAAAAAAGTATCTGATTATAGATAAATTTAGGCGTGCATAATAAGAAATGCTTCTTGTGCACAACATTTTAAAATCAAAAATAGATCATGCACCATTTTTTACAGCAAAGAACATGAAATGTGGCCAATTTTCTTTACAGACGCCATTTTTCTATCCTGCTGCAGCTGCGCAATAAAAAAATTAAACTACAAATCAACACATGAAGTTTGTTGGTTTCCAATTTTTGTTGTAAACTTTTTAATGGATAAAATAAAGGAAGTTTCATTTAAAAAATCTAACTCAATGTAGTCGATGGTCGATAGGCATAACGAACAGCAGTTTATAAACTAAGTTTTGTAATTGGGTAAGAGCCGGGTTTTTCATGTTAACATTAACTCTATCTGACAATGTATTCACATAGGAGGTTATTTATCGGATAAATTTAAGTGACGGCAGCTCTTTTTGGGAATTTTTTTGGATACTCTATCGGTTGTTCTATAATATAATTTCTGTTAAAATGAAGGTATAGTGTTTAAAAGTACTTCAAAACAACTAGGGACAACAACGACAAGCACAACACGTAAGTGTAACACTGATATTCGTGTGTATCGGCACATAACCGAAGCTGTTATTTCAGGTTCAAACATGGAAATATATAATATAATAAAATATGTATAAGAAAATTGTTATGCAGAACTAAAGAACGGACTACAAATTAAAAATGAAAATTGCAAAGAGGTTTTAGCATTTGAATTTGTTGAAAGTATATTATGCGTGTGCTACAGCAAAACGATGGGCCACAGTATGTACACATATCGGAACATTCAGGCCTTGTGTGCACTTTGAGGTCGAATTTATGGTTGTGTCGAAAGTGAGATAATTCCGAATGCTTTCTGAGATTGCAAGCTGGCATGATCAGATTTATTTTGTGTTTTAAAAGAGCTCGTTATTCTCATAAACACATGCATCACAATTCCATACAAAAATAAAATAATGGTGGCTATACAACAAAAGCATTCATTTCAAACTGTCTTGAAATATTTGTAAAACGTTAGTTTCAGTTTTTTACTGTTGGATCCAATTATATGTTGTCGGTTATACGTAGGATAGGTATGGCTTCAATGAATTTTGTGCTAATCCTTCGCAATTTTAGAGTATTGAACGTTGAATGAATTAATTGATTAGGTATAACAAGAGATATTGAGATGGATGCAGGTATGTATCCTGGTGTCATTGGATGCTCATACCTTGTAAAAAATATAAAACAACCTTATATGCAAATGTCAACTATAGTTGATTGTGCATCTGTAGAAATTATTTTTGAATGTACATTAGGGCGCCCTATTTTTACGTTGTCAATAAATATGTAACTTTTAACATTGGAGTTGTTTATGGTTTCGTATATGGGTACAAAGATATGGGTTTCATTTAAGGCCAAAAGACAACGGTATCATATCAAGTGGTAATTGCACCGTACTCGGCCGTGGTCAGTAGGTTAAGCAAAAGTCGCAGATACTGTCGACACAGTACTTAATATTGCTCAATTGTTTTGTTAATGATTTAAAATTCTCGCACATATCCTTTAATAGTATTAATGGCAAGCACTAGCGAGTTATTTGTTTACATATGGCGTTATACGGTTATCATTTCTGATGGTTGCATGGATTGCGAAATCTGAATTTGTTTAATAACACTATATTTAGTTGTTTGAATTTCATTTGTTAAACTCTATTCTATTCGCTTGTTGTCAACGTTGCCATCTTTTTAATTTTTTTCTAAATAATTATTCCCCATAGGCAAGCTTCACATTGAAAAATCGTAAGAAATACCTTTGAGCAATAATGTTAATCCAAGTAATGGGCAACACTTTGATAATGAGAAAGTGGTATCTAGTGAGACAGGGTGTATACAAGGAATGGTAAAGTTTTTGAATGTGCCATAAATTTTTTTTTTTAATGAAAGCCCCAATAGAATGCCAGAAAGTAAACAAGTGTAAATCTGGAAATTTAATAAATGTATGTAAATTTTTATAGGAACAATTTTGAGTTGATTAATGTTTTTAACTCCTTAATTAATAATTATTGTTTATCATTTTGAGTGAAAAACTGGCATAGCCTTAGGCGGAAAAGTGTAAATCCGCCTTTGGGTGAACGCACCCTATGGCCATTAGACAAAGATGAAATTATATCATTCATAAAACGACGTTTCTCTACGTCAGTGGGAATTAAATTATATAATGTCCTCCCCAAAAGTGTAACAGGTCAGAAAACATTAAAGAGTTTTAGGGCAGCTATAAAAGCAATTCTTTTAATTCAAGCACCATATACTGTGGATGAGTTTTTTAACTTTTGTTTTCGAAACTAGTTTCTTTGTAATTATTTTAACGTGTTCTAGTATTTTAAATTGTGGAGTTATACGTTTACTGTGTACATTTGACTATCTCATGCAATGGCTCACATTGTCAGAGATAATAAATAAATATTGATATTGATACCATTTTTTTTAATATAAATAAAATCCCCTAAAAATGCTACATTTATTAAGTAGCGCGAATATTACAAGCAGCTACTTTATCAATGCGTCAAAAAGTGCAGTCCATTGTTTGCGAGGGCTGGTGTGGAAGTAGGTGATCACTGAATAAGTAGATTGAAAGAATTAGTAAGATATTCCTTTGAACGATGGAAATGGGCCGTTGATAATAGAATACTCTGATTTTAAATAGCCAAAACAGATGGCATTTTCGACTTCGTTGGCATTGTTAGTGTCATTTGGCAAATTTGATGTCCTGAAATGTGGGATTTAATTTGAAAAAAATTGAACATGAACGTGAGCTCATACAAACTGTAACATAAAAAATTCAGATCCGTATTAGAAAAAAAGTTGACGATGACTCATCATGACTTTGATGACCCAAAAAACCGAAATACCAAACTTTAAAATCGAATCATATTAGCTCGTAAAGGAGAAAAAGTTACAATGTGACGTGTTATTTATTTTCAAAAATCTTTGCAAATAAAGCCAGAAAAATAAAAAAAATATTACACCAAGAACATATTTTTCTATACTAGTGAGCCATGCATAATAATGACTAATGAGCTATGGTCTTACAGTTTTAATAATAATATGTATACAACTTAATTAATATTTCTGTCTGCTTCTATCACATGGAGCGCATGAGATCGATGCGTACACCACGATCCTTTTCTTTCACACGGACCATGTACGGTTGTCGCGCGAGAGAGCAACATGTATTGTTCCATGTGAAAGAAAAGGACGCAGCGTAACAGAGCTCTCCATGTGATAGAAGCAGGTAAAAATATTTACATTAATTTTAATTAACTTGCGGTAATTATATGGTAATCGTTGTCGCGACTTCATTTGCACAAAATTAATTTTGAACGATATTCTTATACGGAGTCGACCGTAGCAAGGGATCTTTCTTCCTGTGCACGTTTGTCTTAGTCACCAAAACCAGATTGAAACATCACTTGGAATACACATGTCACGTGTGAGAAATGCTGAGATAATCTTACAAGATACAATAGTTAGAAAGAAATTTTACAAATGTTATTTGTCTAAAGGTATTAATTCTATTTATTTTTGTTTATTGTATAATTGTGATGGCTTATGAAGTCTCATTTTTTACTCTTTGTAACTGCTGACAAGTAAGTAGATTTTTTTCTTTCAATTTAATTTCAAACCACTTTTATGCTTCTATTTACTCGTAGAGAGACACTGAAGATGGCTTATAGCCGAAAGCGGTTTGCATTTTAATTCAATAAAGACATTTGCATGATATGCAAAAAGCCTTTCTCCACACAATAAGTTATTGGTAATTGGTATTAATACTGCCGGTATAGTTTGGAAAATGCTTAATTCAATTGAATTCCTAACTGGAGGAATTAATATAAATAATTGTTTATTGGTTTCTACGTATTCCTCAGTTTGGAGAGAGCGAGCCACCCTGTAGTTAAAAATTTACTTGCTGTAAATGTAATCTAGGTGTAGCATTAGAAGTTTCAGGCGGGACATCCTCAACAAATATTTGTTTAGGACCTGACGGACACTTTGTCAAATGGACACAGAATTTCAGGATTTTGTTTAATGGTTAGTGTAATGTTTAATTTTTTTCGTACTTCCGGGACTAAAGTAACAACTTCACTCCATTATGACAAGTACTGAAGTGTCACTTTTTGTCCCGCCGGGATTAAATTTAGACGAAAATCCCGGAAGGATGAAATTACTAACAAGGCAATTTCAGTAGGTTGTTCCACATTTTGTATGCGGCACTACTTCTTAAACGCATCGTACTGCTGCTCATATAGTTTTTTGGATTCCGGTGGTATCAATTCTTTACCTACTTTGGCCGCTTTTTATCAATATCAAATACACCTTTGTCACCCACCACCAAAATTATAACACTAGCAATGACAGTTTCCAAATTATTTTTGTTACCATGGCATAGGGATTGTCATACCAACGCAACATTCCTATGATAACTTGTTAAGCAGCGATTTTTTGAAAGAACGCGTTCTCTAACTCCATACATATTAAGTGTTTCGGTTTCGGAAGTACGAAAAATATCGTATATACCTTGCGACTGAAGTAGTGGTCTTAATCCCTCAGGTAAATTATTATTAAACTTTACCTTCGGGATTAAAAGTACTACTTCAGTCCCGCGGTATATAATATACTATTGTATTGTAAATTCGTATAAGTAATTTAAGGGTTGTTATCATATTTAATGAGTGTCTGAAATTCAAGGAACGCATAAATAAGGAAACATTTAATTTGAAATCGACTTAAGAAAGGAGTCTTATCTGGACAAATGTACCTATGTGTAACGGCCCAACGGACAAATTAATATACGATTTTTTTTTTGGAAAGTTGTGAAAACGTGGTCATTATTATAATTTTTAATGTTTTGAACAAAATTCGTATCATTTATTTGTTATGCTGAATATTTTGTGGCTTCCACGTTAGGTGTTACAGACTTATGGCTTTTAAGGCGATTGGTCTTTGTAGTAATCATAGTTCCAGGTGGTGTCGCTTTGGTGTTATTTAATTTTATAACTTATTTTTCAGTGGTGCCAGGATGGGGGATCCATTAAAGCAGCTCCTTCTTCAGTCTGGTTGGTCATATGAAGACGTCTTGCAGAAACTTGAGCAATACAAAACCGAAAACGTCATAAAATCAGAAACTGAGAACTGCAGTTCAAAGAGTGAACTCCCCTTGGCCGGTAAAAATGTACAAGAATTATCTGAGAAAAGTACAATAAGAATAGATTCTGTGATAAATAATAATAATGCTATTCCACAAAATGGCGGTACTTTTCCAGAGGTAAATAATGGGGTTATATGTGTGGATGTTGAAATTTTATCCGACGATGAAATCGTTGACTACATTCCAGATTCAAGTCAAGATCAAGAGGTTCCGCATGTTAAAGAAGAGGAAGAAACTCCAGCGGAGTGTATAATAATAGATGAAAATGAAATTGGGACAAAACCTGTTACTCCTCCTACTGAAAGTAGAAATAAAAAAGGCATTACAATCTTAAATCATTTTAAAATAAACACGAATAATAACCAAAGATATGTCATTCAAGATTTATCCTCAAACACTAATCCTCAATTCAGTAATTTAAATATAAGTAACACAAATTGTGATATTAATAACACACAGTGCAGTGTTACTAAACCGGCTACAATTGAAAACTGTGATAGCACAATGAATAGCGGAAGGAATCTCATTTGTGCAGAGAATAAGGACTTAAACCTCGAATCCCTACCTAAAGTAAATTCGGGCGATCGAAAGCGCGACCTTGTAAATAAATCTGATGACTATTCTTCGATTAAACGTAGAAAGAGTAACTGCGAAGTAAATGGTGATAATGTCTCAAAAATTACCACCCCCGACTCGTTTTGCAAACCGCCTACTGTTGCGGCCCTTAATACATCGACTGACTTAATTGAGGAACTGAACAATTTGTTTGATGACGTGGAATCAAATTCGAAAAAAATGTTTCCAGCTGCTAACGAAAGCGCGGAATGTGATGACATAATTTCAAATGCGGAAAAACTACTGCGCGAACTCGCTGGCACACCCGTGCGTAATGAACCGGAGGAAGACATTGTTTTTGTCGGCACGCCAGAAACTTGCGAAACTCCAAGAGAAAATGTAAGGACCGAACAAGAGCCTCAACAAGAAAGTGTGAAAATGTTAAATTTAACGAGCAATTTGGAGAAAAAAAAACATAATAGTCGATTACATCGTATCACCAATGTATTACTTGAAAAGCTTCAGAAGGACGGTCCTATTACCCTTGAGACTCCTCAGGACGAAAGTGATGACCAGGATGAAAGTGCAGTTGGTTTTCAAATTGTTAATGTAGTAGGAGGTTACAAATCCCCTGAACGTGAAGCAGAAGATCAAGTGATGCCAAAAACTAATGAATCACCTTCGGTAACAAAAAAGAAGAAAATGAAGAAGTTGTTCAAGCAGTCTGTTGGTAACATCTCGAAACAAGACTACACGCCCATAAAGCCTACAAAAACAAATGATGTTACTAAAATTAAGGGGTGGAAGAAAAAGAAATTTAGTACCGAAAATGATTTGGGCAATGTGTCGCCTACTGCTGTGACTAAATCTCCGAGGGTAGACACCTCAAATTCGGCGAATGCCGCATTTACGAGTGATATATTGGATCAGTTCCTAAGTGAAAATTCCAGCTTGAATATTAGCTACGAACTACCAAAGCTTGTTGCTGAAGATACCTTAAAGCAAACGTACATCGACGTACAATTTCCTGCATATGGGCAGGTTGCGCCGTCACCTACCCCAAAACCGAAGAAGGAAGGTTTTAAACCCAAAACCGTGGCCGAAAAACGACGAATGGAGGAGATGAAATTTAATCCTATCGCTAACATTTTGGAGAATATGAGTACGAAACAGCAAAAGCAGTGCGTTCGCGAAACATTGAAAATTAAAAGGAAGCTTGTTTCTCAAGATCTGCCATTTACAAGACGATGTTTTGTCACCGCCGTTCGGTTGACACATACAGAAAGCTCCATTTTATACTGTGGTAAACAACTGTACGTACCTTCATGTAAAGAAAACAAAATCCTCGAAAATATAAAGGACCAATATCGCAAACGTTTTCGTGCGGCCAAAATCAAACAAAAGCCCTCTCTACTACGAACTCTCACTTACAATTTCACCTACGATCCCAAGGACTGGAAAAATGTCCGACTGAAATTACCCAAACTGTTTGTGGAAGTCACTCCTCAACTGCGAAAACGAATTCACCCTCACGTGGAGCGTTACGTGCAATACGACAAGGAAGTTTTAGATGAAGAGAGAGTCGCGTTCGCACTGAGCACATTAAAAGTGAAAGATCAACCCTTTGTACCGCAAACTTTTGTGTTTCCCGTTCGGTATAAGAAAACCAAGGTGTTCCGGAAACGAAAAGAACCCAAACCTTTGCCACCCTCCACCTGTCATGAATCCGACGACGTGATCGAAAGTGGTGTTAAAGAAGTCATCGAAAGACTGCTGGACTACTGCGAGATATTGGATCAAACCAAAGATATAGTTTTGGAAGACGAAGTTCGTGTAGTGGAAGAAATACACCCCGTGCAGGAGGTTGTAGATAAAATTGCGAACACTAAATCTGATAGTCCAACCCTAAAGAAAACTGAGGCCGAAATGAGGAGGTTAAATTGTAAATTTCTCTCGATTCCCACTAACGAGGATGTAAGCTCTAAGGGACCGTGCAAGAAGGAACATTGCGCACTCGGATGCGTCTGCAGTAATTATTCGACGTTACTCGACCAAAGCCACTGCGGAAAATACAAGTGTATGTTCGAGTGTACTTGTAAAAATCGTTCCGAGTCGAATACGTTTTCTCAATGCGTTATTAATCAGCTCCAGGATGAGGCAAAGAAAAATCTTGCCAAAGTAAGTTGTTCAATTTTATGTTTTCGCATTTATAGAAATTTATCTATCGTTTGTAATTTTTTTTTTGATTCTGAAATTATTTTAATCGTAAAAGGTACAAATAGAAATGAGACCGATTTTCTTATTTTGAGTATCAACACGGTATTTAAAAACAAACCTTGCAACAATCTCAAGCAAAGGCTATTGTGACTAGCGTTATTGTCTTTCCATGACTTAAATACCGTCCCATTTTCAAATATTCACGTTTCATCCAAAAAGACACATTGGCGTCAAGACTAACATTGCATATTTGCTATTTACGCATCTAAAAAATAGACTCTAGATAGTGCAGTATTGGGTAACTGCATTAAACCTTTTCTTGGGTTATCTTTTTGATAGTGGAAACCAATATTCGCAAGGAACTTTTGGACCCATTAAATACGTCGTTTTTCTTTTAGACCTTGCAAAGAGCTTGAAGCGTAACATGTTCTAAGATACAAACGTAAACTGCTTATACTTAATATCTACACAAATATCAATTTAATATAATATAGCTTGTTGACACAAATGCCTATCTACATTCAACGTGTTTTAACATACTGTGTTGGATCATGTCGCAATTGATTGCCGCTTGTGTGAAACCATCAACATCGCTAACGGGTTTCTTACATTGCCTTGTTTTTTAGAATTTTCTAGAGGTTTGCTCGTTTTAGAAATTTGTCAAATAAAAATCACTGTTTGCAGGCTAATATTTAATGCATCCGCAACTCTCTGTGAAATAAAACTGGTTATGTATACGAATTCTCATATTACTAAAGTAACCACTTACTTACTTTCTTGTTCAAAATAACGAATTAGATTAGAAATAAGTTGCTTACTTTTTCTTACTAAACCTGATGGCTTTTTTCGGTTTTACACAATTTGAACCCATATTTTGTGATATACATTGAGCAACTTAACATAAACACATAATTCCAACGTTTATTGAGGTGTAAAATGCTTTTTTTAATTTTGTTAATACGGTGGCATAACAATATTCACCAAAAACACAGTGATAACGTGCGCGTCAACTAAGGAAAATTCTACTTTACTGTTGAGTTTGTGATGGGAGAATGTAAATCATGTCAATGTCACTTCACCTATTAAATTCCTAGATACCGTGTACAGAGTGCTCCTGTTCCAGATGGAGGGGACTGTATGGATAACTTTGTTACTATCGATAATTGAAATTAGGCTAAATGGGAAATATTTAGATTAAATATCTCTGTCATTATAAAAGCTATAATCAAGGGGTTATCTAGTGTGACATTTGGGGATTTTGGTGGATAAGGTGGGTTGACTACATGTTGAAAAGTGTACATTTCAATAATCTACGATTTGAGCGTGGAAGTAGGAAAATCACACTACAATTTTGTTTTAAATTTAAATTAGCGCTGCAGATTTTGTCTCGAATTTGTTCCTGGGGCCAATAGGATCTTAATTGGTCGACCACTTTGCAATCGTGCTATACTACAATTGGCTAGGCAGTCACCAACTTACACTCTTATTAACTAAAAGTCTTCTGAGGTCTTCTGTTGACATTTCACGCATTCATTGTACTAAATACCACATATTAAGTAAATTGCAAAAATGCAACTCACAGTTTTTACTTGATTTGGGGGTTCTTCCCATGAAAAGAATGGTACCAGTTTTGAACATCATCTTCGTTTCTTGCAAAAGAATTCTGTACGCATCCCTTACAATGATTCTCCAAGATTACCGCTCGAACGCTTGCAGCATTTACGTCTGACTTTGCAAAGATGTGTAGACTAAACTTTACTCTACATTGATAAGATAAAAAACCATTTTGGAAATTACACATAATTTAATTATTAATATATTGGTAGAAGAGTGGGTAAGGTAAGTTTCAAATTTACCGCGCGCCAATGCTCGTATCGGGACAGAATGAATGACAACTTATCGCCATTATGACACATGGAGCAAAATGGCCGAACACAAACACCCAGTATATTTAATTTTAAATATATCGACACACACGATTCAAAATGGCCGACCAGTTAACGACCTACTACTACACAAACACAATGTATATAACTATCATTACACTCTGTATATTTAAAATGGCCCAGCCTTGCTCTCCACTCATCTTAATTTGACATCCGTTAGTAAAGTGCTTTAAATTACGAGTCACGTAGTCTCATTTTACTGACGAATTTTGTATTACCTACATTTTTCCCGAAATCGTTTAAGCTCGCAATCGTGATTTTCGTAAGAAAACACCCATAACAGTGCACCAGTGGAAGTGTGATAGGTTTGAACCGAAAGTTTCCGTCTCTCTTACATTGCATTAACCTAAAAATGGATTCAGTACATGCACATTGTATCAAGTAGCATTTTTTGTTATAAATACAACGATGTACGGCACACAAAAAAACGAAAAGTTGGAAATTTGGTTTCAACAGGAAGGTGCATAACGCCCTAATTGTGCAAGATTGACTATTGGACAAATTTTCAATTTTCCGGGAAAGTTTTTTTAACAAAATGTAGCCACATAGGATCAGAAACTTTCGTGAGAATGACAAGACAAAACTTTGTTTCTCATAAGTGCAAGAAAATAGCTAACCATTTCCAATTATGTTTCCAGTGCAAGCAAGAAGGGATCGCAGGATTGTACAAAAAATTCTATACACCACAGTGTGGATCTTAATCACTATTCCAACTTTAACCAAATTAAGACATTTTTCATTATTCGAGAATAATATGAAAATTGAACGGTGTAGAAGTTTATTTGTGGTACCCATTCTTAATATTTTTGTATTAAGTAGCCTATTACAGTTCACATTATTTTGATTTTACTCATACTGTCTTTTTGCTTTAATTTTTGAGTGGGCGGGGCTTCTGTTAAGGTTGCTCTACCAACCCAATCCACTGTACATAAACCAAAATCGTTCGTTTATTGTCTCGCATAGTCACCATCGACACGGCCATGGAATTATTGCCATACATAAGAAATACATTGTAAACTTCAAGGCAAAAATGCAAAGTTGATTCCCAAATGATATCCTAAATGTTTAGTATTACCTGGTTTTGTAATTTTTTTCTCTATCGAGTGACGTAAAAATCCAAATAAAGAAGTCGTTGTCAATTTCCCGAAATACGCCATTTTGAAGAATTTTCTACACCCATTGAATTTATCCCATCGAAACTTGAAACTTTTTTCGATAGCTATCTTTGTTACTAAAATATTTGAAGTTTTTAAAAATGTCGATTTTCACTTTTTTTCCAATTAATCTAAAACGATTTATTTTTTCAAAATATTGCATCGTAATATCCATTAGCATTAAAAACTGCACAACTTTGCCAATTTAACCGAATCTGTAAGCATAATAATAACAAAGATCCTACCCAATTTAAGACACACTGTATATGCCCGAACCAGGGACCCTTAATACGGCAGTCCAACTTCAACTGAACTGAGCCACACGGTTTTTGGTTTCGTCTGTACTTAATAAAGTACATACTTTACTAATACAGCGGTGCACGGTACACAAAAAAAGCAATGTGAGATTGTTGGTTTCAACAGGATGGTGCACCCTCGCACAATCTCCTATTTGTGCAAGAACACCCTTTCCTAGAAAGTACAAAATTTGTCCAATAGTTATTTTCGCATATACAATATTGGCAGTATTTGCTGCACTACGGCGTAAATGTCCAGTAGAGTGAACAGAGACCTGGTTCTCAGTTACCAACCGCTGAGCAAGAGGTTAAACCGCATGAAATAACAGACAATCTGGCTTGCTCGCAATGCTCATTTCTGACTATCACCCCTAGGAAGTTCCACTTAGGGGACGAGGGCTGCTTGGGTAAATTTGGCCTAGGACTGCAAGGCACTGCACGTTCTGTACCTACTATATTTTTGTTATTTATGGTACTAATTCTATCAGTGACAGTGTTTCTGAACACTCACTATGTAATATTGTACAGTTGCAATAAGTATTACAATAATAGGTATATACTTGGACATAGTTCTAAACCTGAATTATAAAATTATTATCAATTGAACATCCTACGTATTTTTGAGTATGCAAGAAACTCTAAGACTCTTTTTATTTGTTTAATAGGAGGAGAAAGAATTTACGCAGACACTTATTAAAACAAATAATCAGTTGATTTTGGTGGGCGATTCCGAAAGACGAAAACGGAAAGCAAAGGTGCCGAGACGATACGATGACTTTATCGAAAGTGAAGTGTTGGACAAAAGCGTCGTATATCACAAACCTCTACCATTGGATCTTCCTAAACCGAAAGTGGAACCCCCTCTTGTTTATGGGAATTTAATAATTCCATCGTGCCATGTTAAGTTAACGATATACGACTTCAGTGATATAATACCATACTGCATGGTACATTCTTTATATAAGTGTTACTGCAGAAAGGAAGCGCCACTTAGCAAAGCAATTTCGCCAATTAAACCGACTGTGACGTCACAGACACCTTTGATTACAAACGAACCAAAGGAGAATGTAGCGGTGAAAAGGAAATTAGAACAGACAAACGTAGCAGATTTGCAAGGGATAAACACTGTGTACAACTCACTTGAGACGCAAAAGATCACATCAGTAGTACCTTTTGAAGTGGCCAGCCCAAAAAGTAGGAATGGAATGAAAAAAAAAAGGAAGAAAACGAAACAACTATATACGGAGGTTGATACAAGCCGTACCAAAGGAGTGTCTAGGCATCTTTTAATTAGAAATAAGACTAGCGCTCACCTTGAAAAAATTAGAAAATCAACAAATGAGTTTAATCAACAATTGCACGCCTATATGATTGAAAATGTTGATGCTATTCTTCGAGAATCGGAGACAAGTGAAATGGAAAGCAACGCAACTATATCACACCAGGATTGTGATGTAACGTTAGTGGAAACACTTAAACCTCCAGTGCAAGAAATAGAAATTGCCAATCCAATACAAGAGAAAATTGAAGAAAAAGAATTAAAGCTACAAAGGCGGCGTAGGAAACAAAAACTTAAGCAAAAAACGGACAGTGACTATAAAACTAAAGAAGAAATGGAAACAGAGTATCTTAAATTCTTAGCAAAATACAATTCAAAAACTCGTATGCTGCCCTGGCCACAATTGATGTCAAAATTTGAATCGGGCGATTATCAATTGTGGTATCGTATTTGTAGAGAAAATTCGTTGGTAACTTTGACTGAAAACGACAAACGTCCGTCCCCGTTACACATCAACTTGCAAAATTTTTTGAAGTATGATAAAAACACGCTTCCTCTCGAGAGGTACTGTAACGTAGTGCGTTACGTTATAAAGAGACAAACGCCATCTGGTATACCTAAAGATAAGATTTTAGCTCTTGTGTTAGAAACCAAAGGTGGCATATGGAACATTTGTGGTTTATGCGAGAAAAATCAGTCCAGTAAAACCGACCAATTCACAGCATCTATCATCGAATTTTACGATGGCGTGCAGGACATTATGAACGATGATGGTCGTGAAAAGCAAAGCGGCAAATCCACAAAAAAGGAAATTTCAATGGGGAGGAAGATCTTTGCCGCTAAATCCATAGTTCCTAAAAATGATATGGGAAACAAAGATAAAATATTGCAAGTCAGGCTACCGGATTTGCAACGGTCAGAAAAATGGCTGGTAGTTCCTTTCAAGATTATCTTTTCCCAGTTGTGTTTCACACGTTGCAATGGCTCAATAGGATTCGATGAAATTACAAAGGCGACAACTGTCGCGTGTACTGACTCTGTGACTATTGCTATAAAATCCAATCGTCTGAGACGTACCTACTCTCACAATAAATTTGGGGTGTACTATGATTATACCAATTCAGATAAATTATTTATCGGTCCGTACCATCATACAGAAAATCATGATGTGAAGTTTATGGTTTATGTGAATAGTTCCTTGGTTGAAGCACAAGGGTTTTTTGAAAATTCTTCAGCTAGTGCGAGCCATTGGTATTGTGGGTATGTCGAGGTGACTGATGGAGATGATGACGTTGAATTTGTACCTACCTCCGAATCTTTAATAGATTTAACATGTGACAGTGAAAATGAGGATTCATCTTACAATCCAAACGAATTGAATAGCAAAAAATCAGTTGCTCAACTGGAAGAAGTTAGTCAACTCTGTGAGTACTACAAGCCTGTCGGCGACCCGAGATACATCGTTACTAATATAACAGAATTGGGGTATCTACCAGCTTATTTACATGGCGAAAGTTTGGACGTGGTGCTATGTCCGATTACGAAAACACCTCGCAGATTTTCCAATTGGAAAATTGCGCTTGGATTGATCCGACGGTAAGTAAATTTGGTGGTTTAACATGTTCACTAATTGTCGTAACCTTTATTTAGGGTAATGGCGGCAAAGTTAACTTTAGTACCGTCTGATTTCGATTTAGTAGTATCAATGCACGTTGATTTGGACAAGTCTAAATATAAACTACTCAATAAGAATATCCTCAATGGATTTTATGTAAGTAAAACTTTTCGGTAAGATGTTTTGTATTCAATTAGAATATAATTATTTGAAAGGTACTAACTAAATTGAGTGGTCTGTGAGAATCTAACTGTCTCAGAAATATTAGATGGTCGCAGTTTTTTTGCAAAGCGCTCCCGAGACTAAACACCTTGAGAGACTTTTTTTTTGATTACTCCTCGAACAAATATTTGTAAGTTCATGTCAAAAAATTGAAGAATTAACGCAGTCTTCATGGAGTAATTGTTTAGCATCATCCAAAGTGCCCCATAATTGAACCGATAAATTGAATAATGGCGATGGTCATTATATTTGCAAAAATCAGAAGACTATACGCATTAATTTTTATTTCTCGAAACCGTATGTATCTTTATTATTATTAATACAGAACCTTTTTAGATGGCAGGTGCGTTTGGTGTGAAGTGCTTAGGAAATATCACTCTCGGTCAACTTAATTCACTCGAAATACCCCAAGAGGAGAAAACTAGGCTTTTACTCTTACGGGACAGGAAATGTAAGCAAGTTTTGGTTATGCAGTTAATAAAGACGCTAAATTTGCAAGTACCGCAAGGTATAACTGGTTCCGAACTGTTGAAGTTTATTGCCCATGAGGTAATTTTTCTCTTTTTTATTCTAAATGTTGTCTAGTTTATTTTCAAGGCCGAGGTTGAGAACAAAAGACTAGAAATAGAATCGAGTCAATACGCTGATGAATTTAAAGCTTTGGAAGATACAAAAAAGGTGCTTTTAGAAAAATATAAAACACTGATAAGTGCATTACCTGAAAGTCGACAAAAGATCGCAGAAAAACAGTTGGACAATATTTTAAAGGCTTCACCTTTACAAGATCACAGGCGCCATGTAAGAATAGCTAATGGTGAAGTAATTAACTTAGAAGATGAGACCGTCGCTTTGAAAAACTCTATCGAGACCATCAAGCCACCTTTTATCATAAAAGACATAACTAGAGCAACTGTTCTAGATGCGTCTCTAGCTAAACCAACCGCCAATAAAACCCCCGCATATGTTAACTTAACAATCAAAAAGAAATATTCAAATGTTGCAAAATCACCACAACACAGTCTCCTGACAGTACCTCACTTAAAAAAAATCAGTCTAACTGGAACATCGGCTAGTTTAGTACCGTCTATGAACAATGCGATTCAGACTGTCATGGCTGCAGGCAACACCTCTCCCAGTACAACAAACATAAAAAATTCTGTGATTTCGACCTCGTCAGCTTTACATTCCATCGAAAACCGTAGCGTTCCCTCGATGGCCACCTTAACAGCAGTATCCACAAACGCGCCGATTGCCGAAGGTTCCAATTACATCGCGTTACAAAACGGTAATAAAGTGAATCTATTAAAATTGGAATCGAACAATTTATCGTTAGTAACAAAACCGAACACTTCAAGTAGTTTGATAAAACCCCCATCCAGTGCAAATAGGTAGATCTCTGCTCATCTCACATTTGTTAGTTATGAGTTGTAATATATTTTGTATATTCTGTAAACTTAATTTTTGATAAGACCTGTTGTTATCATTCATTCTCATTGTAAATAATAAATGTGACATATTTTCTACTTAAAGCCATTATTACTGTTTTATTTATTACTGTTTGCCAGACTCGCTATAATAGTATATTATATACCGCGGGACTGAAGTAGTACTTTTAATCCCGAAGGTAAAGTTTATGCGGGAGGGCCATAATTTACCTGAGGGATTAAGACCACTACTTCAGTCGCAAGGTATATACGATATTTTTCGTACTTCCGAAACTGAAACACTTAATATGTATGGAGTTAGAGAACGCGTTCTTTCAAAAAATCGCTGCTCAACAAGTTACCATAGGAACTGTCATTGCTGTCATAATTTTGGTGGTGGGTGACAAAGGTGTATTTGATATTGGTAAAAAGCAGCCAAAGTAGGTAAAGAATTGATACCAGCGAAATCCAAATAACTATATGAACAGCAGTACCATACCTTTAAGAAGTATGCCGCATACAAAATGTGGATCAACCTACTGAAATTGCTTTGTTAGTAATTTCATCCTTCCGGGATTTTCGTAAAATTTAATCCCGGCGGGACAAAAAGTGACACCAGTACTTGTCATAATGGAGTGAAGGTGTCACTTTAGTCTCGGAAGTACGAAAATCTTATTGTTACATGTTGCCACACGCAGCTCTTATTATAAAGTTTGCAGGTATCTAGCAACCTGCAACTTCTATATCAATTTGCTGTAGGTAAATGCGCACCAATAATGTGTTTGTGTTTTCAGGTGTAAACATTCCCAAATCTGAGATTGCCTGTTTCAAATAAAACATTTTTCGTAAAAATATCGTATATACCTTGCGACTGAAGTAGTGGTCTTAATCCCTCAGGTAAATTATAAACTTTACCTTCGGGATTAAAAGTACTACTTCAGTCCCGCGGTATATAATATACTAATACATATCATACAATGCTAAGATATCGTTTACAGATCTCTATCTGGAACAGTGTCCTTGGTAAGTAACCTGCTGGATTTATAGGGGAGGGAAAGTTGCATTGAGCGCTGCACCTCAATACAACGCGTTACTTTAGCTACTACACATCAGAACGCTGGTGAATAAAATGTAATAAAGGTAGACATTTTTGTTGGACTAGGAATGCAGTGATTTTTCTCCTCTTTTGTCTAGCCTTCTCTAAAAGAGGAACAAAAGCGTATCCTTCTAACAGGTTTGTTTGCTCATGAACTTGACTTGAAAGTTGCTATACAGGGTTAATCCTTTGGCTTATTTTATGACTAAAAGTTTATACAAACATAGGTTCGCAAACGCTTCATTACCGATCTACAGGATGTTATATTTCACGATTTTTTTAATGTATGTGTGGCGACCATTCAGGCCGCTAGAGACTGTCGCTTGTTCTGACGACGAAGAAACAAGAAATGGAAATCTATCAGAATCAAGGCCTTTATATTGTTTTATTAAATAATTTATTTATGTATTTACGATACAAGTTTATTATCAGTGTAGGGAATAAAACAGAGACAGCATAAGCCCTCTACTTTTATCACTGTTATGGACAAAGTTACAAAACAAATTAAAGAAAAATATAACCAAATAGACCCTAGCAGTTAAAGTGAGCAGCCTGTTATACGCAGACGATGTGGTATTAATAGCAAATGACAAAAATAAAATTTAGTAAACACCTGAAGTAAAGAAATTGAAAACTTGAAAATGAAAATTTAAAAAAAACAAAAATAATGATCATAATTAAAAAGAAACAGACACCCGGATCGACAAAGGAATCAAATGCAAGAATAAATTATTGGAAAGAGTAATGACATACGAATTTTTGGGATGTATAATAACGAAGGATGGGAAAATAGAAGCGGAGTTAACACACAGACCTAATAAATCAACAAGAATATGTTAAATAAACAACATAACTGGGAAAATAATGTTCACTAGCTAGTCATTTTACACTGTGTTTCTTTTTAAGTTTGTTTTCATATGTATACGTAGTATTAGTTTTATACAAAATAGTGTAACAATTTTATATGTTCAGTGTAAATGCATTGATTTGAATTGACTTATCCCATAGCATTTATGAGCTCAGAGGATTAATAAAGTATTATTATTATTATTATATAGGTACTAGAGGACAGTAAGGAAAAAAGACGATAGTAAAGTAAAATGCTATGGAAATGAAACATCTCAGAAAAATTGCTGGAAAAACCAAATGGGACAGGGTAAGAAATGGCTTGATGAGAGAAGTAGCAAAACAAGAGCCAATAACGGAAAAAATAAAAAAGAATCAACTGAACCTGAACTGGTTCGCGCATATAGTGAGGATGGATTCTAGACGGACGGGATAACCAAGGAAGAATCAAAGCGGGAGATCAAGACAGGGATGAAAGAAGAAATGGTAGAGGAAATGAAAATCCTAGCAAGAGACAAGAAACCATGGAGGAATTGGATACAGGAAAATAAACCCACATCCGACGCCTGAAATCAGAGAAAAAAAGAACTTAATTCCTTTCAAGTCGACGCTACAACATCACGGACCCTCGCGTAAGTATATACGTATATAATTTGTGAAAATAATTAAAATATGTTTTTTTAACTTTGTTGTAAAGTTATATCTACAAAGTTTGCGCTAACTGCTGGAGTACCAATAACCAAAGCACAGCTTTCTTCATGTCCTATGTCTGATGACGTAGTTAGTAATTAAATTAAATAGTAGAATTTCAAAGCAAACGCTTGCCTCAAAATAAAATTAATTATATTTTTAATAACATCATAATTTTGTGCTCAGTCTATTTAGGTATACTGATGAACGACACAAAAACGGGATATTTACAAGTAAAAGCCAGCTTGCAACTTGCAGTAGAACGGGAATCGTGTAACGACAACAAAAAACTAACACGTCTAACGTATGTTTGTTAGTAGGAACTGGGGTTTTCAAAAATCGAAATGAATTTGTAAACAATTGAATTTCACGCAATCGCACCCAGAACAGGAACGTGTTTGTGTAATTGCCGCTAATAGGCATATGGCCCTCTATACGACTCGTATAATACTCTGAATATTTAATCAACCCCTGCTGTGTAGACGCCGATTGAGCCGACGAAATTCAAATGTAACGCCGTCGTGGGACGGTGCCCGTGTATATAAAAATTTTTCATTTCGAATTATCATTAGCGCTTCACAAAAAGGTCTTATATATTACGTAAAATTCAACTGATGCATGTGTGGGGCTTATTGGTTGGAATGAACAGGGTTAAGGTACTACATAATGAACATATTTTATTCTTGGTGCATTAAATAGCTACCTAGATAATTATCCAATCCATACTTCTTTTGAGTGAAAAATTTCTGGCTAATTTGTAATGTCTGGATATTACGCAGAACGCCCATTACGTTGACCCAATATTTCGATTGTTCATATCGCTGGCTGTGGACATCTATGCCGACAATGCCCGCAACGCAATGGTCAACTACGGCGACTGATATTAAGAAAATTGTAGCTTATGCCCACTATGCCACAAGTCACAACTACAAAAAATTCGTTAAGCCGGTTGTGAGCATGAGCCAAAGAGGGCACTCTCAAATTTGTGGTTTCGATTTTAATAGTCCTTATGGACATTTCATGCCTTAACGAGAATATAAACGTGAAATATTTTTTAATTTCTGATCGAACAAATAACACCAACCTTGTAAGTGGTGTAGTTCCGGAGCCTTTGTGACTCAGACAGACAGACACATTATTATGGAGCATAAAAGTGCATTTTTAATTTTTTGAAAGTGAAAGTGCACTAAAAAGTCCTATCGTTTCTATTACTTTTGCTCCAAATTGTTCTGTAACATTCAACATGAAATATTTCCCATCTATTATTTTTTTAAAGGAATTTTACGAAAGAAAAAAAATTCCCCTTATTTGATAGTTTTGTCGCTCCGTCTGTCTGTTTCTCAAACGGAACGCAGATATGAATCGTATCATCCGATTCGTTATATCTTGTTCATTTTTGCTGTTTTTAATTTTGCTTGCTTTCTACCCCTCTGATATTAGAGTTATTCTGAAATAACATTTAATTCCCTTAAGAATTGGAGTAGGTACGTATTTGAGCAAGTCTAGGGCGGTAAGTAGGTATCGCCATCCGTCAGGACTTACCCGATCGAAACAAAACAAATTTGAGCGCTTAATGTTTGCGTAAAAACTCTGAATAACACAAAAAATTTGTTGTATTTTATTAATTGCAATTTTAACGTAATTAAAAGAAAGCCCCTATAAAGGGTTCAACACCACAGCAGCACGCTGAGAAATAAAAAGCGTCACATTTGCACTGACAAGAGACGAGGTGAATTCAAATTTCGATATTAATAAAGCCCACATACTAACACCTCTGGCCCAGTCATTTCAATACATAAAAACCATATCTCTACAATGTAATTTGTAAAATAATTATAGGGTATGACTGTAACCCATAGTTTTGCAACAATTAAAAAGAGATTACGGGACGATAAAAAGGACATATGACAAGTGTTGCGAGGGTAAAGCATGTGAATTCGTGTAGTAAATTGCTACGTTCCTAATTTGTGGTATTTGTAAACATGCAAATTAGAACGTATTATATATTATATTTCACTTTAAATTTTTTACAAATTAGACTCTGTACTCTATAATATTGATTAACGTAACACTGGAGCCCGCATCGCATTCCCCAAATTAATTTTCAAACATATTTCTAATTAATTTGTAGAAAAAATTGAACGCAGTTGTAATGTTACTTACTTTTATGTAATGTAATCTCATTGAATAAAAATTCGTTAAGCGGCTTGTGAGCAAGAGGCGAAGAGTGCACTTTCAAATTTATTTTTTCGATTTTAATAGCCCTTATGGCCCTTCATGCCTTAACGAGAATACAAACATGAAGCAATTTTTAATTTCTGATCGAATGAAACCAATACCAAGTCTGTAAGTGGTGTAATTCCAGAGCTTTTGTGACTCGGACAGACAAATTAAAAGCGTAAAAGTGCACTTTTTATTTTTTGAAAGTGAAAGTGCACTACAAAATTCAATCATTATGCCTATCTAAAAATGAGAATGGTGACAAATTTAGTTTTTGATTTTTTGAAATGTGCAGAATTTCAGCGACAAAAAGTATTGTACTTCCGATTTTCTTACGGTATGCCTGCAGAAGTCAAAATAGCTAGGCAACAGATTTTCATTATTAATCATTTTTAATCGGATAATAAGTAACTTCACTGACATGTGTTAAGGTTCCAGATATACAGACCAACTTTCAATAGAGGATTGAAAACATATTTCATGTTTCAGTTAAAATTATCTGACAGTTACAAAGTATTCGCATAGCACAGGTTCCTTCTTTAGAGTGAAAAATTGGTCTACAATTTTACTTTATACCAGTAGATAGTAAAATGTTATTACTGGACCAAATCTTGTGGGAGCAGCTAAAACATCAAATTCTAGCTGTATTTACCTCAAATTCTAGCTATTTTTACCTCAAAATATAGTAAAAAACTAAGAAAAACTCATCTCCCACAAATACTTTTTAACATGGGAATGTCTATATACAGGGTGTTTTTTTGGGAGCTTTAGTTAAAAGTTTCTGGGAAAGTAAAATAGGTAGGTTTTTGAAAATTTGTACTTAGGAGTTACTCTGAAGGCCGAATCGATGTAAAATATTTTCAAAATGGCCGCACTTCCGGAAACACCGGAAGTAGATAGTAACTTCGTTATTTTAAATGGCAACCCCTATTTTTAATTGCTTTTTTGGATTCTACGTGAAATTTCACTTCTTTTGATACCCATATGTCGATATCTACCATTTATGGTTTTTAAGTTATTTTGACTTTAAGAAAAAAAATGGCGGATGCAGATGGTACCTTGATAATTGATTACTTGCAAGCGGTTGTAGTCATGGCAACCTATTTTTATCAGTGCATAGAGAATGAATAGGGCTTTCTTTTAGTGCACTTAAAAAAAAGTTAAGTTGCGTACGACCGCCCCTATGGATATCCAAATTTATGAAACTTCAAAGACTAAAAACTCAGTTTTTTTTAATGGAATGACCATGTTGTTCCTATAGCTATCTTTAACAGTTTCTGACTTATTCCCATTTTATTGAAGGATTATTTTAGGAAGAACTATTATTGTGGAATGGATTTAAGTATGAACTTGTTGCAGCAGGTTACACTGTAGAACAACTAGACGATAATATAGAGTATTTGATTGATGTTAGGAATAAGCAGGCCCACCCCAATGTTGCTTTTGACCGACATAATCTCATACGTGATATTCAGCCGGTCAGTAAATATTAGGATGAAAAGATGTGGAAATGGGTCCAAATGCTCTCTAAAGTTTTAACCTTCAAATTATTCTCATGAAAATTCTCGTAAGTTATTCTGCTGTATGATATAATAATGGTGATACTTTCCGTGAAGCTCGGATTTTCTACTGTGAGATTCTTTCAAGACTGCTGTCATATATTTATATTGGGTTAGTACTAATTAGTTAATGTATTACGTTAGTTCAATGTTACCTTTATTTCCTAATTGTTATTGATCTACTTAAACTATTATTATGAATATTTGTTAATATATTGGAATATGACGCGTTGCTTGCATTCTTGCATCACACTACCATTGCATCTTAATTGTGTATATGAGTATTTCATTGTGAATATTTATTTTTTTGGTTCTGTGTTAAGCTATAATTCTGTATTGAACCATATTATATGTAATTGTAATTGAATAATAATGAAGAATTTTAATATATTTCATGATAATCTGTAGTTGTATGATAAATTTGTTAGTTTAGTTGATGAGCCTTTATGTATCTGAATTGATGATGTTTACAAAATAAATATGACAAATTGATAACATCAGTGCTAGACCCAAAATGTTTTTGAGGTAAATGTACCTAGATTCTGATAGTTTTAGCCGATTTTTTTTGCCCCACAACGGGATCGGCTAGAAAATTTAAGGAAGTTGAATTTGTTATATATTTTTGCAGTTTTTTAAAAAATTGTTTAAAGTGGGAATTTTTTTGGGAGATGAGTTTTTTTGTTAATTTAGCAGTCTCACTGCCAGGACGCTTAGCATCATTGAGGTAAATATACCTGGAATTTTGGTTATTTTAGGTGATTTTATTGCCTCTCAACACGAACTGGTCTAGTAAAAAATCGTGTGGGGAATTACTTTTTACGCTGTTTTGTGTCGCAAGGTTTTATACAATTTTTTAGCTCCCTCACGAACTGCGCTAGTAGTAAATTAATGTATTCAAGTCATTTTTCTTGCTTTTTTATAATTTTTTTAATGTTTTTTTTGTTAATTTTCATAGATTTTTCTGCTGTTTTTAGGCTCTAGAATAACAACATTTCATACACATTTTTGTTGTGGGAGATTGTTTTTTTGTTAGTTTTGTTAGTTATTTTGTTAATTTTAGGGTAAATGTACCTGGAATTTAATAGTTTTATGTAGTTTTTTTAGCCCCCACAAGATTTGCGCTAGTAAAAAAATCTTAAAATATTGCGTGTGGGAAAATGAGTTTTTTCCTAGTTTTTTTGCGTTTTTCAGGTTGATGTGTGAATGATTTTTGATGAATTTATGTGATTTTATTAGCTCCCACAAGATTTGGTCTAGTAAAAAATCTTCAAATATTGCTTGTAGGAGATGAGTTTTTATATGATTTTTCTGGGTAGATGTGCCTGAAATTTGACTGTTTTAGTCGATTTTCTTGGCTCCCACAAGATTTGGTCTATGATGGTCACTAGGTTAAAAATGCTGCTGTGGGAAACTAGCTGTTTTCGTAATTTTTATGCGTTTTTGAGGTAATGTGCTTAGATTTTTTATTATTTTAGAGGATTTTCTTATCTCCCACAAGATTTGGTCTATATAGACATTCCCATGTTAAAAAGTATTTGTGGGAGATGAGTTTTTCTTAGTTTTTTACTATATTTTGAGGTAAAAATAGCTAGAATTTGAGGTAAATACAGCTAGAATTTGATGTTTTAGCTGCTCCCACAAGATTTGGTCCAGTAATAACATTTTACTATCTACTTATACCACTTAATAACACTTAATACCACTTAGTAATTTAAAAAATGATCTCAAAAATATTACAAATAGGACACTGTAATGTATAAATGTCAATGTTTAAATTTAAATTAATTTTTAGTAAAAAAGGAATAAAACACGTAGTCAGGGTAAATATTAATATCAAAACAGGCTTCCGTGGAATACAACGGAGCTATAATTGTTAAGTAAATATCAAAGAAAGGTAGTAATTACTACAATTCGATTAGGTGTATCGAAAACCAGTAGATAATCAAACGTTGTATTAAGGAGTCGTTGTAAATTAAAAAAATGCCCTTTTAAATGCGGCTCGCGCCGGCCTTGTTGAACTCGATAAGGGCGTTTTCTGTCAATCTGTAACATCAGATAACAACACAATCTGACTTCACACCGCTTGACTTCTTTTTTTGGGGACACATAAGCCCATAATAATAGCAGAATTAACACTGTTAATGTACTGATGGAAAATTTTATACGTTGAATGAATTCAGTGTCAAATATTCATATCGTAGATGCAATTGGCAATATCAGGATTCGGTATCGAAGATATTTTTTTCTATTGCGACTTATAGCCACCCATGCTTTACGAATATGACTTTTGGGCGTTACATATTATACAAATAGAATAAAGCGGTTATGGGACTACTTTAGTATGTACATGTAGGTACATACAATTAAATTTAAAAGTAACATGTTTTTCTCTAATTACATTTAATTTCCCGCGTCCAAGTATAGTAGTTCGCCGGGCGTGCGTGGTGAGACGGTTTCAAAAACCGAGCTTAAGTTCCATCCAAGAAAACGAGATTTCCCAAAGGCGGTACACAGTTCGCGGAGTTTGCTAGTATCATTATCAAGGGCGGGTCCAGGGGGGGGGGGGGGGGATTTGCATTTTAGGTTTTAGATAATGCAGAACGTTTTATGAAGAATAACTTTTATTCGTTTCCAATGTGCTGCGTACTTACATAAGTGGACACACTGTATATTCATGAAGGGAAATCAATTCCCTACAATTTCTTTAAATAGACTTTCTCTGTGAGGAGTAGTTTAGATATATAAAGATGTTTGAGAACATTTTTCCCTGTGACCACCGTTTTCAATATACAATATCTGCAATTAATTGAAATTATGATGAGATGATTATGATTATTAGTATTACATTATTTAAGAGAATGGTCCTCGTAAAGTAAAAGTAAGATCAAATTCTTGTCATTCTTGAGCAACGAACGGATTGTTATTGCAAGTGCAGATACCAGTTATTTTATTACAATTAATATTTTGTTTATCTCGCAAACAAGAAGTCATCCACACGCTTTAAGATTTAAAAAATAATGTCTGCAGTTATTATTGAAAATGAAATGAGGTCAGAATAAAGTGGCAGATGGCATAACACAAGCAGGTAAATTTCTGTATTTAGTCCAATCCCCACCACCGAGTGCGTCGAAGAAGTGGGGACAATAGGGACTGTCAGGTCCTTCCTGGTGCCCTTTTCTTTCATATGCTGAAAGCTACCGGAGTGTAGTGCACGTGTTTGTTGTGTCGGGTTCACCGCATTTACACGTGCTTAACATTATCTGCCAATAACAAACAATTAGTGACAAGAAGTGAAATTAAAATTAATAACGTACGTTTAGTGACAGTGGAACGAGTTATCATGGAATTATCTTGCACCGAAAATCCGTCCGTAGTCAATTTCGCACAGAAGGATCCAAATATTTTCTGCGATAGAAGAGTTATTGAAAATTTGTTGAAAGACGAAAGGAAGTACGTTATTTCGTGCGATTATTTTAATGAAGTTCAGGTCGAAATCCAGCCGTACATGAGGAATGTTGTCGCCACATGGATGATGGAGGTAAGGATTTCCATTACCATTTTCGCGAAAAATTCAAAAAACGCGCGACTGTATGTTTGTTTACATCTGGCGATTGTCTCTTTCTAACACTGCTTTGTTTTGTCGACTCTCTCTCTACCTGTAACCCGTGAGTAATAATGCAGTGTGGCATTCCTTATTACGATACGGCGTATGTGCGCTTAATGTTTTGATTAATTAATCTAAGTCTAATTTTAATTAAAAGGGAAATAAAGTCCGACCACCTGTGAGAGCGTTCCTCTCACCTTCGCCTTTAAAAATCGTAGAATCCGACAGGTTGCACTGACCTACCCTTTCCAATTCGGCACCTATTCTTCTTAATCTCGCAAACTGCGAGAGCATCCGGTCGCTATCTGTTTGGGTTATTAAATTTCTGCAATGTAGGTAGTTAAGATTGTACCGTTTAGGTCCTTTAATCTTTGCCGTTGCGTCTGCCGTTATGAATGATTATATCGTAATCTGACCGTGAACCGATGTTTTTATTTTATTCAATAGCACAAAATGCCAAGTCGGCAAAACATTACTGATAAATGATCATTAACGTTTTGTGCACGTGTTCAATATTGACACCAAACCGCATGCATTAAGGGCGGTTGGGGGTAGGGTATGATTTATTAAAAACCTAAACGACCCGCCAAAGTAGCCCTTGTTTTTATCAATTTTATGCGAATCTGAATGGGAGGAATGGGGAACTCGCGTATTGATATTTTTTATTAATTTATTTCTTAGTGCCCCCCCCGCACCAATGAAATTTTGTACGCGCGCTTGGTTTTGTCGGTACCAAGTTTACCATCGTTATAATTTGGTATTTCTGTCTGTCTGTCCGTGCACTTAAACTTTGTTCAGAAACTTCCGATGCTCCGTTTGAAAATTGGTACCTATCAAGAGCAGTGGGGCTGCAAATCGCTCAGTGGGGGATGGGGTTTGTCCACAATGATCGCCACCGAAAAAAAATGGGCTCGACGTCTTTTGATGAAATTGTACTTGGGCGACGCTCGTCTTAAAGGCAGCACTTGATTTTGATTTTTATATGGTATTGCCGTATGCGTCATAGGATTTTTTTAAAACAATAATCAACAAAGTAATTATTAAGTGGGTGAGAAATTGCTTTTTACTTTTATGTTGCATCAACAATTTTGCATCGTGTTACACTTCGGGAAATAAATATACCGTCTTGTTTCCGTTTATATTATGCCTATCAACCTCGCATATTCTCACATGATCTGGATCAAATTCTTCTGAATTGCATAGTGGTTTGCAACAGTTTCCGGAGTAATATGCCATTGTGGCGCCGTTTCGTCAATGATGGTTTATTACGCTTCTTTTCCGATTTCTATAACACAAGTACCTACGCAGAGTATCCACCCCCACCCCTCATCTCTGGGTACTTCTATAATTGAATTTATAACTATCCTATCCAACTCAATTGACTTGACAAGATCCTTGCAGTTAGCAGGCCATTGACAGCAAAAACCAGGGCGTTGGTTGGTGCCGATATGCGCTGTATCAACCTTACCGGTTTAAAAGGAATTAATTGCTACAAACCACCGCCCACCTCCTCAACCCCTCATCGAGACCGGTTGTAATTCTTCATATTTCGGAAACAGTGTGTCGGAGGAGGCACTCAAAAAAGGAAAATGAACGTCTCAACAAGACGATATCTACAAAACGGAGAGTCGGAAGAGAGTACTCACAAAGGGCGATCAAAACGTTTAGGACATTAATTATTTTTAATTATTTATTATCCCTCGCCCTCAACAGGCTTGCGCCCAATTACAGAGTGACCCGCATAATGCTTTTTAGAGGTGCCTCTGCAGAAGGTCTTAGGTTGTTCTATACTACTCCGGTATTTACCTTACGAATTAGGAAAACTGCAGGAAAACCTAATTCGGAGTAGCCGGCAGAATGCTCGAAACTGATCTAAGGTAATTCCTATCTCTGCCACAGATAAAAATTACCTCAACCCAGGTTCGAACACCCGACCTCCGGATTTATAGCCCAACGCACTACCACTGAGCCATAAAGCCGGTTTAAACCAGTGATGCTCGTTTATCCGCCTGTTGCGAGAGCGAGAGTTCTAGACAGAGGGGTTGGTCAACGGCTTATTTGAGGGAACAAAGATTTCCTTAAAATTTTTTAGATTTCCCCGGAATTTTTTCTTATTTCTCCAAAATTTCGTAATATTTTCCTAGAATTTCCTCTTTTTTTTTCTCCTATTTCTCCAAAATTTCCTAATATTTCGCCCGAAATTTTTTATATGAGGGACATGAATTTTACTCGTGATCAGCCCCTTGTTCTAGAACGCGCAGTTTGTCACCGAATTAACAAAGAACTTTAGAATTTCGTTTATAGTAATTATTCAAAGAACAATTTCCAAAGGGGAACTTTTGAGAGTATTAGGGAGTTTTCGAGAATTTTCGCTAATGTTCATCTTTTACAAAATATACTATGATATTCTATACTAATTACAAGACACCAAAGTCCGAATCAATGTTTTTTATTGGAAATATTTGCTTAAATATTCACTCTTAGCAATACGAACATTACCGAATATTTCCGGAAATATTTCAAAATTCTCGCTTTCCGGAGTCAATCTCCTCTTCATGCGTGGGTGTGGGTGTGTTTGGGTATTTTCCTATTTTGCGATTGTCAAAAATGTTTTGAAAATATGGACTGTCAAAAGGGAGTCATCGAAGATCAGTTTTTAGAATTTAGAGCATTTTTGTTTTAAAGAATTAAAAATATGCTGTTGCATTCGTTTTAGCCGTTCCTTTTGAACTACTTCTTGGTACTGTGGCCAATGACTTAAATTCGTTTCAAGGGTTCCTTCTATCAATTATTTCCTAGGATGCTGTTTTGGTAAGTATACCAATACTCATCGCTACATTATGTCAGTCACATTTACCCGCAATAAAATGTCCATCCCGTTTACATCGGAAGGGTTGGTCACGACTAATTCTAGAGGACAAAGATTTCCTTCATTGCGAGCTTCATTGCCTAAAAATTGCCACCATTTCCCTTAATTTCCCCAACATTTCCAGCATTACCTTAAATTTCTCCAAATTTATACAAAAATTTCTCCGATTAACGTGAACTTTTATATAGAAGCCTTTTATTTCCTCAGAATTTCCTCTTATTTCCTCACATTTCCCCAGAATTTCTACATTCTTTTGAAATTTTCTTCTATTTCCCCAAAAATTCCTCTAATTTCGTCCATTTCCTGTGTCCCGCGCAGATACCACCAGCTGAAGAAATTAGTTTTTAGCGCTACCCATGAAAGTGGAGCGCTTATGTCTTCACATTTCCATCCGTCTGTCTGTCGTTCCGTCACTTCCGTGCTATATTTTATAGCTCAGTCCCTAAACCTATTTATCAACTTCGGGTTTTGGCTTTAGGAAAACTTACGATGGGTTCTAGGGGAGGGGGGGGGTCCAGGTGTGTAACTATCAAAAATTAACTTTGGCGCTCATCACATTGATGCCCGAAATCGGTCAAAATCGTAATTTATGAACCGATTTTGTTTGGATAAGATCAAATTCGATTGGTCGATGACCAAGAAATGATACACGTGTATTTTTGGTGACCAAAATATTTTTACTCTAAAGCCTGTCAAAATCGATATTTTCTTGAGAAACTCGATTGCTCAATGCCCTAGAAGTGGTCTATGTGTATTTTTCGCGACCAACATATTTATGGGTAAGCAATATCAAAATCGTTATTTATGTACCGATTTTCTTGGAAAGGAAACATCGTATCGACTTCGGGTAGATCACTATACCAAAGCTTATAGGTTGATACTCATCTGGAGATGCGCAATTATCAAAAATTAATCACTTAATTGCCAAAAATCGATCTAAATCCTCATTTATTACCAATTTTCTTGGGAGAAAGACTAAACTCGATTGCTCAATGCTCAATATCAAGAAATGATACACATTTATGAGCATGCTACATTGTGTGATATTACTAATATTAAGCAATTTTCAAGTGGGCTTCTCGTGCCTCCCCCCCCCCCCCTGCTACGGGCCTGACGGAAGTCGAGTTCGAGGAGGAGTCTGCGGATTAGATGAGGGGTAAACCACTTATCGCATTTCCACTACTAAACTAAACTACTAAAAAAATGCACTTAAAATGTTTTGTATATTTCCGAAAATTTTCAAAATGATGTTCACAGGTTAGGTCGACATGTCATGGCCCGTAGGTAATCGAATCAACACCTTTTTGTAGTAATTCGCATTAGCATTCATTTTCGAGCATTAGGGTGATTAGTGTGCGAGTTGCCGTAACTTTAAGAAGGGGGCAGTGCAACATCCTCGGTTTCATAAAACGATCTAAATGCGTGTCAGTAAATAAAATCAGGGGAAGGTATCAGAATGATAAAAAACATTGTTTGTTTCCAGGTTTGCGAAGAACAAATGTGCGAAGAGCAAGTCTTCCCTTTGGCTGTGAATTTCATGGATCGATTTTTAAGCGTCTGTGTGATAAAACGTCAGCAGCTTCAGTTATTGGCAGCTACCTGTTTACTAATCGCTTCCAAAATTCGAAGCAGCACCATTCTAACCATCGATCTACTTTGCGCCTACACCGACTACAGCATCACCCACAGTCACATCACGGTAAGCCCATTGTTATCGATGTTTCTCACATTGCGGTCATTGTGTATCCAGGAAAAGGATTTAAGGTGGTTGATCACCCCCTTAAAAGACTATATTCTTTGTGGGTATCTTCGAGGTTAATTTGCGGTAAGAAGTCCCCGTTTAAGGAAGACACCAATCATTTGTAATAATCTAAGAAAATGAAACCTCGCACGAGTTTGTCGTGGGGTGAGATTCTTAGATAAGTTTCATTGCCGGATGTGAAGCTCGCGTTCATTTTTAATACCCTCAAACTTGCACAGTTTCGAATCCAATGCAGAATTGCACTAAAAAATGGGCGTAATTTTACATATGCGCGCAATTTAAATGTCGGGACCGGATACGCTCACAAAAATTTTATAGGACTCTCGCATCTTTTGTGTACATCCAGACGGTTTTTTATAAATAAATCAAACCATGCAATTACTTTAGTCGTGTTACCGATAACTATAGGTTTATTTATGCGTATGTTAATTATTTCCTCTTTTAGAAAGGGGACCGAGAGGATGATGTGAGAATCCTTGAACATCTTGATCCTCCGTTCCGGTCCTTTTTCGGGTCGCTCTCCATTCAATTACGTAGATGCCTCCTATTTTGATACTAACCCCTGTCCCGTATCGGAATTGGTCATATTTTGTTGCCCTCATTTTCTCACAGTTCCAGCTCTCGGAATGGTTACGCGCGATCCCGTTTTAAATATTATGCGAATATAGGGGTTACAAGATTTAACTTCTAGATATTTTTGTTTGTTCGTGTGGGAATTTAACTTGGGGGCTTATTTATGGACCCAACTCTCTATTATACTGCAGTTTGACGGTCCTTTCACAGCTTTTGTGCCGAAATACGAAAATTTTTCGTTTCGAACTCTAATTGTTAACGTAAACTGGTTTCGGGGTCATTTCACTTCGAATACCCACGTGCGTTAATGTGTAATTACGCCAGTGTCTTCACGTGGTCCAATAGGTGGTTTAACTTCCGGAGTTGGTGATCCAGAAGGCTTCTTCATTCCCAGCCCAAACACCGTGAATATTTCACGACAGACGGTGGCAGTTTCGAAGTAAAAAAAAATTTACAAATTCCCGCGCGTTCCGCTGGATTCTTACCAAATGTCTTCGAACGTTATAAATTTCCCTTTGCAGTCGTACTAATTTTGTGTGGGGTAATTTCGCGCCAGATCGTTACTTTAACGATCTTCAAACGGTATTTAACGCACTTCATATCTGATGAGGAAGTATTCCTAGTGCCATTGCAATAGTATAATGTCTTTTAGTTCCGACTTTTGAGATTGCAATCTCCATTGGCCGCAGTTAACACAAAATAAAGACTATTTACCAAATTGTTGACCTCTCTTTTAAGTGAAAACATAGAAATAACCTCGGAAATAACACTTTGTAACTGCCGCATAACTTTGAAATCTTTTCTGTCTATTGTTCTTTTATATTGAAACTGACTTAATCTTAATTTTGAGTGAGCGTTAATTTCGAAATAACCTCAATTTGGTACCTAAACGTCGAGTCGAAAAGGTCCTGCTGAATTAGATCAGTAAAATTGTTTTGAATAAGTATAAGTACTATATATCGGGTCACAAAGCATCAAATATCTTCTTTTGGCTCTTGCCATATATGTAAGTCTAAAACGATGCATATACATCAGGGTGTCCCAAATTTAAAGGTCCACCCTGTCTAAATTTGTTTTCGTGCAAGTGGTGGACACTACAAAAATTTAGCTTTTAGGTTTATTTTACATTAATCTGAAAACAATATAAGGTTAGGGGTGACACTCTTTTACCTTCAAGCTGCCATAACTCGAAAACGAAGCAAGATCGGACGTATGTTTATCTAACAATTTATGGTTATTTTGAGATACTGTATCTGCTATTACAGGGTGTACCTTTAAATTTGGGAAATAGGGAAAAATGAAGTGATAAAATTTTCAGCAGTATTCATTCTACATTTTTGCGAATCCCATAAATCAGTTTTGAGATACCTGTACACATAGGAAGCTGACAATTTTTTGATCATTCGATTTTTCCATAATTTCTAAGCGACAGGCTGCAACTGTTCATTTCAGGTTGTGACTTCTAAACTGCCCTAGAATGACGGTATCCGTACTTAATGAAAAGAAATCAAAATGTATCAAATAAATACGTACATTAACATATGTATCTGAATTTATGAAACAGGGGTATATTTATTCTTACGATTTTTTCTTTTTTAATTTCGAACCAGGAAATTGTTCCATGCGCGGTTTCAGTTGCAGTACCGTCGCGTCAGGGGAAGGTGGCTGGAAGAGAGTACTGCAAGGGAATAGATGATGTTACAGCACTTTCACAGGACATACATCTTATTCTGACAGACATCTTGTTATTATCTTTATTTTTAGAACTACCCAGAAAGAAATTCGACGCCTCAAAGCAAAACTTCCTACGACCGTTTTAACATTTCGCATTACGCTTTGATATAAACTGCAGTCACTTCCGTTGTAAACAGCAGATCGATCCTTCAGAAGCAACAAAAATTCTTGCCATTGGATGCAAATATTTAAATGACATTATTTTCTTGTTATAAAAGAGTAATATTTCACCGTAAAATGAAAGTTTCTCACCTTAATGACAACGACTTCTTCCAACTTCTACAGGGGACAAAATGGACCACTGGGACCATATGATAGAAAATCGTTTTTGAAGCACAAAAAACTGCTGAATTCATAAATGTCTTTACTTTTACGTAGATACGAGACAAAAATAGCGTTTGGGGACGAAAAAGATGCGAAAACAAGAAAAACGGTAGGGACATTATCATTGACTAAGGTAGAGGGACCTACAAAGGATTTATGTAATATATTTCTGATACATTCATTTTTTCGGTGCAGTGAGATAAGAGATCTAAAATTACGAAACAAATTAAGGCCGATTCTTAGATTCAATTCTCACATAAACGGCGCGGCGCGGCGCGACAAACTCATCCACATATAGAAATGAACTGCGCGTTCTAGTGCTAACCGCGGATACTGCAGGTGAGCGAGAGGGGAAAACTAAGCGGCAAGCTCTCTCTCTATCGCGCTTGTGTTGGTGGCACCATGAATAAGGTTGTTTTATTTATGGGTCGCACTGCCACAGCAATGTCGATTGTATGCGACCAATAGAAGCACGTTAGAGAGGGAGTTTGCCTCTTAGTTTTCCCCTCTCGCTCACCTGTAGTCCTTTGGGTCAGAGAACATACGGCTCGTTTCAGTTCAGTTTTAAAACATGGTTTCATCGAGTGGCTCATCTAGTGATAATTAAATGCTGTTTTAGTTTGAAAAACATAAATAGTACATTATATACCAAGGGACTAAAGTGTGGGTTTTAATCCCGAGGGTGCTCGTCGTAACAAAAACAATGAAATTCAAATTCAAATCAGGTTGTCCTCTCATAATCACACGAGAGTAGCTCTAGGGACTTCAAGGGAAATTCAACAAACACATTACGCCCATATACCGGATGGTGCCTAGCGCGACGCAGCATAGGGATTTCAATGGTAATTTCTTTATAGTAAATTACTAGCTCCCCTAATTAATTTAGAGCAAAAGTCTAAATACGTTTCTTTTAGAGAAAAAAATACTGCATCTGTTCATACTATTACTTATAATTTTCCGTTTTTCAAAACCGTAGAAATTGACAAAATAAAAAGGTTCATTTTACAATAAATCAAATATGCCTTGGAATTACCTAAAAAAACAGCGATCGCGTGCCTTTGACGTATATTAAATTTATACTTGTTTATAAATTAGTTAAAGAAATGCAAGTGCAATAACGTTCAAAATGTCCGTCAAAACCATCAGGAAAAAGACAATGCATTCAGCGTTTTGGCTGCAGTAGCGGAAAATCCGAATATAAGTTTAGGAACAAATCTTTTTCAAATCAGTTTTTTTTCTTCGATAATGTAGGTACTCTGATTCCGGAAAATGATAAACAAATAGTATCTGATGCAGATGCAGCATACATTCTCTAAAAAAAACATTACCCTAAGATGTCTTTTATTGCGTCGGTTAGTTGAAACAGAATTAAATATGAAAATCATTCGACGTCAACAACGATAACTTAGATGCGATGCGCTTATAGTTTGTTAAAAGATTCCAAAGCATCACTGATTTATAAAAATGTAATTTTTTATTTGATCGATTTCTACGGTTTTGAAAAATGGAAAATTATAACTAAAAGTATGACAGATGCAGTATTTTTTTCTCTAAAAAAAACGTATTTAGACTTTTGCTCTAAAATAATTAGGGGAGCTAGTAATTGACTATAAAGAAATTACCATTGAAATCCCTATGCTGCGTTGCGCATCACCCTGTATAAAACAAACATAAGACCTATGACTCATCGCACAAGCTGATTACAAAAGACGTAACTGAGTTTTAAAAACCGTACTTGAATTTTGGAAGTCACCTTTCTGTGAATTGTTAAAATATAAAATACATATGGAAAGTTCCATAGCACTGTAATCACGTACAGAAATCATACAATGTATCCTAAACTGTATGAATACCCTGTACAATAATCTTAAATGAAAGCCATCTTATCTAACTACGTATCGACAACTACAATATTAATATAAATATAACAAGTGATACATCAAAATTTAGGAAATTTTACGGTCTTTTCAAAAACTCCAAAATATATAAGGTAGTCCCCTCGGTAGTCCCTATGAAAAAATGTAGTTTAGGGTCGTATAAGAAAAACCCGGTATAAAACTGTGTATCGACATAAAATCCACATCCACATAAAAAAGTGCTCTAAGAACGATTTTGCCTAAATCAATTATCTTTAATAATAAGAAAGTTATGGGGCGCTAAAGAAATCGATTAAATTCGAGAAACGCCCCACAGCGGATAAACGATAGAGAAAGCTGAATTTTGTTTGCGCCAATGATTTTCTTTTTAAAATTGAACTCCATGCACCAAGTTTATTTTTTTCGATTTCTGAAAATAAAGGGCGTTTCCATAAGAAAGTGTCCGAATTGAACCACCCTGTACATTTACAATCCTTTGCGGTTTTGAATTAAGAGATGCCATTTCGTGGACATGGTGATTTGTTGCAAAATCACACTTTGTAAATATTTGTATATTGTAAGTTAACATGTTAATTTTGCTGTATAGTTCGTTGTATAATCACATTGGGCACAATTTAAATCTTCGGAGGCCTTTTGTATTAAAACCTGTCGTTTCAACACATAGTGGTGATTTGTTGCAAAATCACACTGTGCACACATTAATTATTGGGAACTATAAGTTCACAGATGTCTATTTGCTTAAATTTAATTTGTCGTTTGTTGCATAATCACACTGTGCACATTTTAAATCCTTTCAAAACTTGTGTGTTGAGAGATGTCGTTTCAGAACATGTAGATTTGTTGCAAAGTTACAATGTGTACACTTTAAATCTTTTGAAGTATTGTGTATTTTTAAGCGGCGAGCGTTTATTGGTCATTATTACACACTAATTGCTATACTTCTAATGCAGTTAAAAAAATTGGTAACAGTTATAATAACGCAACGAACACAAGTTACTCAGAAATGACGGCCATCTTGAGGTTTAGTTTAGTTGACATCACGAAAAGGAGAAACTCTTGTAGGTAATATTAATATTTTCAAAAACGATTTAGTTCAAATTATACGTTCGATTAGAAAAAGCACATAAAACCCTTCGCTATACGAGAAAGCTAAAGACATCTAATTCGAGTATATTCGACCAAAGCTTTTCGTACGGAACACCCTGCATATTGCTGTACAAGTGTTTCGTTGTTTTGGATTTGCAACTCCAATACAATTTGAATTTGAAGGAGCGTACCACTATCTTTGAACCAATAACCCCCCAACAGAAAGGTCACATTTAACAGAAAACAAGTTGTAAAGTCGTCGCACTCATATGGGTGGTTAAATGATCTCCGTCTCCATCTGACCACTACCGATATTTTTTTGGTAAAAGGATCAGTTGATTTGGAATAGAACACGAGGGAGTTCAACAGACAGAAGCATGGGTTCCAGGTGCCAGCTAAGCCGTTTAAGATCTACCAATACCTTTCTCTTAAACCCAGCTCGGAGAAACTTTCACTTTCAAATTATGCTTAACTATCATTTTGTTTGTACTCATTGCCCAAAACAATTATTGATCTCAGGAAGAAATCAAAATTTTTCCAGGGTGATGGATTACGGTTTGAAATATCCAAATTCTGTTTGTGTCAGTTATTCTTTCATAAAATCTGTGTCCGAAAGAAGATAGTCTTTCCATCTCAGAGAAACTGAAAAACACGAGTTTGTGTAACATATCGGAAAGTACTGTACCGACCCCCAACAACTGGGCTGCAAGAAATTATGACACGAACACATGATTTCGCTTGTGAATCGAGTTTTAAGATGATTACGCCCATCGGCAAATAGCATCAATTACCGGTTACGAAGAGGCGTAAAATGAGTAAAACTGTATGCTGAGAATTTCATTGAGGAATTAATCGCAAGTACCATAATTTATTCAGTGGGTTGAACGGGCTTTTTGAGTGTTGTAAGTGCATTTAGCACCCAGTCGTAATACTTCAAAGAATGCGAACCTTAACAGAAGGGTCAATTGCTTTACTGATGTCAGCGATGTCGCTATCCACTTGCTAACGACCTTTCTCCGCGTTCCCACAGACTTTGCGGGATCGAGACTTGCATTGTCTTTTTTTGGCTTTTGTAGAGCGCCCCTCTCCCTGTGTCGCAACGCGGCGGCCACCGCGCTGGTTACCCCAATCCAGACGTCTCGTAGGATTTTCTAGAAAAATTTCTCACAATAGCGACACGTCATTCAGGTTACACGATTGTTATTTTATAGGGTTGCGATTTTTAACACGCAAATATTCATCCCCTAAACCGCACGAAATGGGTGACCGTCCGGTCTGCGGTCGGTTGACAGAAGGAGGATGGACGATCACTTTATGAATAACTGTTGCGTATAATTTGAAGTAATCGATTCTTTTGTTGCAGTCGTGGGAGCTGTTGGTCTTATCAAAACTGCAATGGAACGCCGCCGCCATTACCGGATTCGATTATATTGATCATATAACAGATCGTTTTGCGTGGGGCAGCGAAAGTACCTACTTGAGGCGGCACGCTCATACTTTGGTCTCCATTTGCTATACCGGTGAGTCTTTTTTGTGTTTGTTGTATTTAGGTAGGAAAATAAATTTTGCCGCCCTTTCTGTTATACCTACAAATGCTGCGTGTAGAAGTCATGGCCACCCGCATTCTTCGCATGCATTCAACTAATAAATAGGGAGTTTATATTATTATTGTCTCGCAATTGCCGGTACGAGTAATTCTGCAAAAATTGGTAGATTTAGAAAAGTTGCAGTTTATGGGTAGTTAAGCTTTTCGGCAATACGGGCTTATATAATTTACGATGGGAAGTTAAGAATACTACTTAAATTGTCATATTGACATGACTACAATGTAAAAAATAAAATCGTATATTTTAATTGATACTAAATTCACAATTTTCTTTATTACTCCAATAAGAATATAATATTTTTATTATTTTACTTTGCTCAAATTTGAGGTCACTGTGTTGGATCAAAAAAGGAGTACATTGTATAGGTAATATTGATAAATGCAAAATTGTGCATGTAAACAGGTAGGTACATGAGATTGTCTTTAGTCAAACAAAAAAAAACTTACATTACAAACGTAATTTGCGAGGTAATTTGGTCATACTAACTTTTTTAATTTTAATTTACTGGAATTTTCTGAATTTTACGAGTTATTCTAAACCCTCAATTTAAATTATTAGTTATCACACTTAATGCATTCTTTTGATTGTTTAACATTTTCATTTTTTGAATATCTGGCATTTTTATAAATTTTCATTTTTCTTCTTAGAGTTATGTGTGTCAATTCTCTGCGAATCATTATGTACACTTACTGGAACTTTTCTAAATTTTATAATTTTCAATTTTTTTTATGATTTTCAGTGATTTTTAATTTTTTTAAATTTTCAATTCTGTTACATTTTCTTCGGCATTCGAAATTTTTATGCAGAATTTTTTAATTTTTAAAAAAGGAACACATTTTTTTCAATATTTGTACGTAATTGTTGCGAATTGTTTCGAAAGGACCTATTTAATAATTTGGCTTCTGATCTTACCCCCTCCCACATCTCATATACAGTAAAATGACTTATAGGGTAGTAGCATGCTATATTTATCGATGTGTACATTCTTGGTGGGTGATTAAAGGGGGAGGGGTTCTTTATACATACACATTTAAAGGTTGCCTGCTAACATTCAAAATCTACGCTATATAATGTAAGTAGAATCAAGCCCTTAGAAAAATTCTCCGAAACATTGCATTTTCCTTTATTTACAATTAAGTTTTCACGTCGTCACTAGATGTGTAACTAGACGATCTTTCCGCCCTTGGAGAGTACCTCCTCCGGCTACTCGTTCTGCAGATATTTTTGCACTGAATTATACTTACTTAATTGCCGGATAATATTTATAAATTCATAAAATTACTTAATACCCATTCTCCCTTGGAATTTCTAAGGTCGACAAAACTGATAACGGCGTAAACCTGCATGGCCTTGCAGTTTTAATGCTCGTTTTAAATTAACATAGGAAACCAAAATGATCTAATAATTTTATTAATTTCTTAACGGGACTGAAATTCTAAAATATTAATTCGCCCCTCGTGTTGTAAATGACAAGAGCTTTAGGACGTAACAAAGACAATTGAAATATCTTGGCGGGAACGGTTGCAAACGACGAATTAATTACAGCTTTTGTTTACGGTAACGGCGGCTGAAACACAACTGTTGAAATTACTTTGACCTTCTATCTTTAGCTCCTACAACGAACACAAATACTTTCGGCACGACACTTTTCGTAACGAAGCGCCCAACTTAAAACGCTTCTAGATACCGGGTGTTCATCTCCAGAGTGATCACTAAATTGGTAACTGCATGGTGGAGGTGCTACGTTACATCGCATGTAAAAGTTACGCACGTTTTCCTTCCAGGCCTCTAGAACAATTCCCATAAAAGTATTTCAAAATCGCAGTGGATCCGGACGGACGGACAAAACGCAAACAATAACACATTTTTAAGAAACTTGCTTTTGATGTATCTGTCTAGCGGGATACCCGTGTCAAGTTTAACACGTTTTTTTAGAAATAAAATGTTCATTTTGAATCTGTATGGCGCAGTGGCGTGGAAGCCCGACTGCGGCACTAAGGGTCGTTGGTTCGAATCCAGATACGGGCATGGATATTTTTAACCGTATAGTTGGTTGGGTTGGTAGAGCAGCGCTTGGCTGAAACCCCGCCCACTTACAAGTAAAACCCAAAATAAAATAAATAAAATATGTGTTTAATTTTGGCTTCTGCGATAACAGCAATTGCGTGTTATAGCATTAAAGTAAAAAAAGTACCTCATTTTAATTTTTGGGAAAAGATAGTTTTAGCGATGTGCTGCAAGTAATGAAAATTTATTACCACTATTATCTTGCTTTAAATATAATTGTTAAGAGTATTATAACTACTAATAAACAAAAGGGTGCCCATAATCGGACCACTTCGGCACTTTTTCCATTTGAACTAATTAATGCAATTACAGGGATATCAAACATTTTTCAAATGATCAAAATTAGTTTATTCTGTTAATTTTTTTAATAGGATCAGAGCGACTAACCCGTGTACATATTTTGAAGCGTCCTGTGTATATTTTTAATGACTACAATCATTTGTTAATCTACTTGAAACTTAAAACTTTGACATATGCCTGGCGTCGCCGCCTCTCCCAGGATTTAGTCAACTGTCGTGAGGATGCGTCCCTGGTAGGCACTATCAGGGACGTTTCACCACTACTTTGTTGCCATCGCGCTGGGCCGCGACATATGCCAAACAATGTGGTGGAGTTTGTGGATTGGGGGGGTTGTGGGGGGGCGGCTAACTGGGTGTTATCCGACCCGAACGGGTACGGCCACAGCTTCGCCACTGGTATTCTGCCTTAGAGGGAACTCTGCTTTCTAGTGATAGCTTCTTCTCCTGGCGTTCATTGTCTTCCGATGTTCCTATCCTTTGATTTTTTTGATTTCCCTCGTATAAATTATCATAGAAAACAACGTATCAGATGTGAAATTGTGTATAGAATCCAAAAATGTACAGGATATCCGATAAGTTTCAAAATTTATGGCAACTCTCGGTCGAACTGGAAGTGATGGGGAAAATACTATGTACAGTACCTACTCAATTTTACTAATTACTTCACCCGAACAAATTGTACAGTGTGTGTCTTTGAAAACATACAATGGCTGTATGTTTATCAATAAAATGATAAATGTCGTTGTTGTAAAGGTGGGGGGAATACTAATGTCGTATTTTTCAATAATTTAAATTGTTTGTTCCACGCTATAACATATTTTTAAAAATAAAAAAATTTAAAAAATAATTATTCCATCAGACTAGGGTATTGCAATTTAAGATTTTTACGTCAGTATGGGTTGTTTTAAGGGGGTTGTGGGGGTATTTTAACAAAAGTCATTCGGATTCCACCTGGTTTTTAAAGAAACGGTTTTTTTGTTTTTTATAATAATAATAATAATAATAATAATAATAATAATAATGTCTTTATTCAACAAGCTAAATAAAAATAATTGTAAACACAACATACAAAACAATAAAATTAAAAAAAACTCATATGCTTGTTGAACCCCAAGGCGAAGTTCAGGTTGGTCACAAGTAACCTCCTGCTCTTCCACTTAACCTTGTTTCAATATATATATTTTTATAGATCACCACTTCTAAGTAAATCTACCAATTGACTTTTTCCCTAAATACATTAAAATGCTCTCCTTAGTTTGTGTTGCATTTTTCTGTTTCAGTACTAAAACCAACTATCGTACCAAATGTTTGAAAAATAGTCTCTTGAATGTCTTGTGATCCAAAGTGCTACATTTTAGAACAGATGGAACAGAATTATAAACATATGCGACGTAATAAACAAATGACCGGCGAAAAGATGATAGAGAGTGACGAGGTATTGACAATAAACCGCGGTGCCTTAAATTTAAATGATGTACATCTGTTCTAAATTGAATTAGGCCATATAGGTAAGGTGGAGAGTAATAATTATTTTCCGAAAAAAGCATGCCGCATGCAACAGCCGTCGATCGCTCATTTTCAACCAACCCACATCTTTCAACTTATGTGAACTATGCTCTCGCTTTTTGATACCGAAGATAAGCCGTAAACATGAATTTTGTACTTTCTGGATTCGCTTAATATCCACACTATCAATACAAGGACCATAAACAGTATCACAGTATGTGAAATGAGAAAGTACCAAAGAATTACAGAGCATCGCCTTTGTTTTTTGCCCTAATATTTGCCGATTACTGTAAATAATTTTTAAGTTGTAATAAGCCTTTCTAATGCACTCATTAACATGCTGTTTAAATTTTAGGTTAGTATCTAGTTTAAGCCCTAAGTTACGCGACACGTCTGAGCACTGTAAGTTCACATCGTCAATTTTGATATTTAAAGATTTCAGCGCTTTTTCACGCTCTTTCGCTCTACCAAAAACCATAAGCTTTGATTTGCTAGGATTTACTAGCAAGGAATGCTTACTACTCGTGCCAATTATCGATTTTAGATCTTTATTAACCTTTTCGCTTGCATCTTTCCCACTAGAAGCATCAAAAACGTATGAAATTTGCGTGTCATCTGCAAACATGTGACATTGGCAAAATTTTAATGACCGGTGAAAACTAGATGTGTAAATTATGAATAAGAGTGGACCCAATATAGAACCTTGAGGTACTCCTGAAGAGATGGGCAATTGACTTGAGCGTATGTTATTTAAATGGACAATTTGTGACCTATTTGAGATAAACATCGACACCAGGTTGATAGATGCAGCGGTAAAACCAATATATTTCAATATTGATAGCAAAATTTTATGATCTATCGTGTCAAATGCTTTGCTGTAATCCAACAGAATTAACAAATATATTTCGTTACGTTCAATTGCAGTACAAATTTGATTAGTCACCAACTGCAATAAGGTTGCACAGCTGAAGCCTGAACGGAATCCAGATTGAGTGTCCGGAAGTATGTTATTTAAGGAAAGATACTGCTTTATCTGGGAAG